CTATTAAGTATATTATTAAAAAGCCCTATAGCTTATAAGGGTATCTATCTAGACTAGATACTAAACTTTATCTAAACCCTATATGCCACCTACGCCACATCTACTCCTCATTATTATTACTACTATTACTAGTGACTATTAGGATCCATAGCTCGGCTGCGGGGCACTCGCTGCTTTTGGGGCCAAGGGACTCTGGACCCTAACTCAGCCACATGTCACGTGACCTAAGTCACGGGTCCCAGGAGTACTAGGAAGGGCACGGACCCTCTAGGACTCTAGGACTCTAGGACTTTGGGACTCTAGGACTTTCTGGGACATAGGGTATATAGGAACTCGAGTATAAACTCTTATACTCATGTTTAACCTGTTTATCAATCTATTATTTGGATTACACTTAGGCTATATTATTAACTCATTATATTCTCCTCTAACACTACCATATTAATAAGACCCCTTCCATTCCCTTAATTATCTTGCCTAAGAATCAACCCTAACCCTTTAGGACTAGCTAGCCTTCTAGATTTAATATATAGATCCAGAGTTCGTCTTAAATAATCCTCTTCCTTATTTCGTTTGAGGATGGCTTTTCACTGGTATGTACTGATTGAGCGTGAGGTGTAAGCCCTGTTAGAGGTGGAGTAGAGCTGGTCTCTTCTTCTGTGTTGACGACCGGAGTCGAAGTAGCAGAACTGGTCTCTGGGGCAACGGCTCCAAATCGACTCTCATACCGTTTCTCAGCAAGAAACCGAAGTTCTTCTCCAGACATCGAGCCGATAAGTTGTGCAGAACGATCTTTAGATACTGCTCTCTTGACATCAAAAAGGTCAGCTAGAGTATTTGCTACCACCTGATCGCTGTCGCCGTCAGCGATAGCCTCCCCTACTCGGTAGACCTTTTGAGATGAAGCTTCACTTGCCGCCTTGCATATCTCAAGGCACTGTTTGGAAGCGTTGATGTCATCTAGCAAGCGCGATCTCTCCTTGCCGCCTTCCGGATTGTTTTCAAGGATCAAAGACTCTAGACGATTTCGGAGGAGACCGATGATTTTCAAAAAACTATCCCGATTTTCGTCTAGAGCTTGACGTGTGAGCACTTGTGCCTCGAAGCGATCGTGGTGGGGATCATGAGTAGCATCGAGAGTCTCCTCCAACACCGAGGATTTTCGAGACGATTCCAGAAACTGTTTCGCCCCTTCGCAGATTTGAAGACATTGCTTAGTAACTTCTTTTTCGTCGCCTAAGTTGACGCTTGAAGGTGAGGAGCTTGGATTCGAAAATCCTTCCAATTTTTCGTCAACTCTTTGCAGATGGATGTTGAGATCGTGCACCGTATCTTGAATCAATTCATTGTATTCTTTCCAGGCTTCTTGGGAGACCTTGGCCGCGCGTCTGCGAAATTATTAGCTAGTTCCGTAGTTGCTATGATTGACGCACATGGTGATAAGGCCAAGACCGAGTGCAATGGTCGATTTATACCCAGATATTGTATCAATAAATTCATTGATGTCTCCACGCATAAATTCAAGCTTTGCCCAATCTCGAACCCCAGTCTTCGACTTTTCGTTGAAAGACCGCATCGACTGCTCGAATTCTTGGCAGATATCGCCGCATCTGCCAACAGGGCCTTTGAGAAGCGCCGAAACAGATGCTTCTGCTTGTATCGCTTCTTTCAACGAGTCCAAGATGCCACAGACATCTCGCAGCTCATTCTGGAGCCTTTGTAGAGTCCTGTCGCGTCCCTTGTAGCGTGAGACAGTGTCATTGAGCGACTTTACTGATTGAACGGCGGCGGTAACGATAGCCAACACTGACGCAGTAATGCTTAAAGGATCTGCCATTGGAGAGAATGCATCCAAGATGAGATGTGGTGAGATGTGAATTTGGTGTGTGATTGAGGAGTGATCGACGGAACGGTGGGCGGGGTCGCTGACTACGTCAAACATCCACATAAATAGATGATCCTACAGCTGATAGGCTAGATTAGCGCTATCGCTTTTGAAACAGCCCTGCGCAGGATCTTGGGGATGCCGCCTGGCTGCAAGCGCCCATGAAAGCTGACAATGGACGTTCTGCCCCGCCTTGGGCGAGACGCTACCACCGTGCCTTGGTGGTCAGTGCGCATCGTAAGTCAATGCACACCCCAACATAATTGCTCAGCTCGTGAATTAAGGCCATAGGACGCCTACAATTAATATTATTATAAAGTTTTCAAGTTAATGCCTCTAAGGCCTATAGGTTATAAATATCTACTTAGTATTTTAATATTACTAGCTCCACATAATTATTCTAATAAGGTACACGTTGCTATGTAATAGGGGTCGCTTGGCTTTAGGCTAAGCTATTCTTAAAGGGGTTCTAGTGAGAAATAAGGGCTTTAGGAAGCGGTATGGTCGCGTTAGGTTAATACGTTAATTAACTATAGTAAGGTTGTATTGCCAAAACGTTATAAGTAATCTTTCCTATAAGGAAACTAGATGT